GCTTCCTCATCGGTGCGTCGTCACACGGGAGGTAAGCTTGCTGGTCCTCCAGTAAGGTTTTTGCTTTCTGAATGCAGTCGGCCTTATCCAACATGACTGTCGAACGCCCTTTGTCTGCTGGGAGCAGAACTATAGTGGTATCAGCCCTCAGTGTCTTGAGCGCCTTCTCCTCTGCTCCGCTAACGATTGCGCGTGTTTTGTGCGCCATCACCAAGGTTGTAACCTGTTGCTGAATGAGCTGTTTGGTCTCCACAGGTTGTCCGGATTGTTTCAGAATCGATTCGACCGTGGCCACGAGATTGACCGGGTCGGCATTTGTGGTGTTGAAGCAGGCTTCGTGGCTTAGTACTTTCAACTGTGTAGGCGTCAGCTGTTTGGGGGACATGTTGTGTACTAAGACTTCATTCGTCTCTTGTGATGCGTGAGATAGATGTTTCAGCTATACTAGGTATTCTTGCTTCACTCTACAAGGAGGTTCCTTGATGCTGACTAACCTGCTTCTTGGATTTTATACTTTAGTTATCTAATAAAAAGGAGAATAAGAACGCTTTGTTTTTTTTTCGGAATTTGTGGATAAATTTTAGGCCCAATTGCCAGTTTGAGAAAGATAAGATTATTTTTTCACATCAGGCTCAGTATAGCTTGTAGGTACTCAGGTTGCGAATCCCGGATTCTCTCCCTTTGTGTGGTAACGTGGTTGCTCAAAGTTCCGCCGATCGGGAGATGGCGAAACCGATTCCTCCATCTTATTTGAGGACCAAGCTAATACCACATGCACAACAAGTGTGTCAGTTATACAAGGCTGCACTCGTCAATATAAAAGCTCAAAAACTTGACAAGTAAATATATTAGTGCAGTTTACAAACCGATTTAAGCTTAGAGTTTCGTTACGAAGCCGTTCTTTTGCGAGCTCGTTTCGAGGAGAACAGACACATTACTGACCCAATCAAAGCCAAGAAGTTACTCGAAGAGGGTTGGGCAGAATTGAAAAAGAAAAAGTTCGCGTTCCCATACCTCTGTAGAGTTATAATTTACACCTTACACATGCCTTAGATCCTACTTCTCCAGGCGGTGTGGCTTACGAAAGATACGATTACAAACAACCCGATTATGTTTGTTCACTTTTATTAACTCATTGTTTAGTTGGTGGATAATTGGCATCCCCTTGAGAAATTGCAGTTTCCTGACTACTTTGCTAGACGTGAAAAGCGAAAGGCCGAGTTCGTTGAACGTTGGAAGCTTCGCTACGGTGAACCAGAGCCACAAACCCACTAGGAGTTTGTTTTCTTTACCTATTCTTTCTTGTTCTGTAGTTTTATTAACGGGTCTTGCGGACGATGTAGAACGCAAAGTGCCCTGAACTCTTTGTGTACATTAATAAACCGGCTGTCAAGTAGAATGGTCTTTCGTCTTTATCTTTACCCTTTAATCTCTGATAGTTTTATGTGGTGTACTGCTAGTAAGGCGGCCTGTTGCTTTCGATTTGCTTAATCAGTCCACTTGTATAGTTTTGTCTTGCCCAAGTATTGCAATACTGCGACCACGTGTGTACCCTGCTCAATTATGGTGAGACTACCACCTCGTCCTTCGTAACTCGGATGACTTATTATTGTTGAGGGCTTTCAACTATTAAGCCCTGCATTCTCCCACTTTTGATTTTTCCATCCTTCGAGTTTGAATCACTGGTTGTCACAGTGGAGGCATCTGTCCAGAATGATGCACAGAGCGAAGAGTCATCTTTCATCCATCATCTGACTAAACCATTTGACTAAGCAACGCCTATCTGAGACATTAACTGAAGTTACCCATAGTCAGCTGCAGACATCCGTTCTTAGAACCCCATCGTTAGCTGAAACTATCACCCAAAGGTGGTGGATGAGAGTGCATTTATCTTCGCTAATAAGTTGCCGTAGAGTCAAGTGGCTGACTGCTATCTCTGACACGGATATATTTGGTATGCTTAATTTTACAATATGAACACGAAAATAATAACCTACACCGAAAGTTTATTTTTTCGCGGCAATATTTATCCCAAAGCATTCATATAGCTCGGATGTATTAGGTTGAGTTTAGTTTCGTATGGCTCATCTTTTCCTGTCCCGATAAACTTTTTAGAATGCGAGGGTTAATGCACAAACTTCTTTTGTATCGCTAACGTCCATTAAGGTCTTCTCCATTAGTGTGAAATCGCTCTTCTCCCAAGTTCTCATTGCTATGCTTCTAGAGGTTGTGGGTTAAAAACTTCGAGCATTTTGAAGTTCGTTATTCTTACTATTCCGACTAAACACTTGTATTTAGTATTTTTAGATTAGTAAGAAATTGTCGAGGTTTATCAAGTAGGTTAGTGGGTCCAAGTGCGTGTCTGTCCGGTCTCTAGTATTTTTAATGCTACAGTTGAATAAGTGGAATTACTTGTTATAACTCATCGACGTAGTACGGACTGTAATCGCCAAGTGGATAGCTGGACAAGGAAATACTCTAATATTTAAAAATCCGCACCTTGGCTAGCGTATATGTCGCAATTGTCCATCACGACATAGAGATTCACCCGGCAAAACCATAGGATAAGCAGTCGGGACTAAATCCAATTGGCCCTGCAGTTCAAGGACGGGTGTATCTATTATTTAAGAAGCCGAGAATGGCGTTGCTAGTGTATTAATGTTAGGGCACGCGGCGGGATATTGCGGGCTGTCAGTCCTGGCTATGCGCGTTTCCCCAGTTCCATAGTTTGTAGAATTACAGGCCACGTCATTTTCGTCTGTTGCAATTACGAAGAACGTGTTCAGCCCGTGGATATTTCCTCAGAGTTGCGTTCAAGTTAGGT